ACCAGGTTGAGAATACTAGTGATGAGTTTATATACTTAGCAGCAACAGTAGACACAGAAGGAGGTGGAGATAAGGACATTGCCAACCGTATTCAGAAAGCTCGTGGTGTGTTTAACCCTATTCAGACTGGGCTTTTTTTTTTAATCTGTGACTGGGGGGGGGCTCATTCGCCCCCCCTCAATATCTTCGGAACCAATACGTCTATGAGCATGAAATTTTCACACAATGGTCGCCCACGTAAAACGAACCACCACACCCAGTCTTGATCCGTGGGAACCAAATGTGACGTCATAATGACGTCATTTTCACCATTTTAACGATTTATAATTCATTTTAATAAATTGCCTACAATTCCATAGAGAATGCTGCAATATCATCTGATTATTATTGAAATGACTTGAAAATAATATTTTTGTATTTTTTAATTGAGCCCTGTTCTATATGACGTCACAATGACGTCATATATATCAGGTAATTTTTATAAATTATATATCTATATCTAGATAACCAGTTAAATATCATATTTAGGCGTTACTCCTCTCCTGTGATGTTGTGGTTCATTTTGTATCCATGGTAACAGTTGTGACGTCATAATTGTGATGACGTCATTTCCTATAGTGTATTTGTCGTCTTTGAATAATTTGACTCCAAATCTCACTTTTTTTTTGTCGACATCGACTTTTTATGGTAAAATTTACAATTTCAGAAGTTTTTGAAGTTAAACWATTTGGAACAAGCAATTTTGAGAAGAATATCCGCCATTTTAGGATCCGCCATCTTGGACCGCCATCTTGAATTTTCTAAAATGCCATTAAAAAACTAAGCATTGAGGCAAACAGCTCAAAATGTCTGAAATACTTCTCAAACTAACATTTAATCAATAAAAAAGTGAGTTTCGAAGTGTTACTGATGATTTTAATGAAACATTCTCCCATGTGAAAAAATGACAGAAAACTACCCACCCCTCCCCCCAAAGTTTTTGTTGTCGAAAAAGTATTATGGTATTGTAGAGTCAGCAGTGGGAGCAAGCTCAAATAGGTAAAAGATGCATAATAAAACAAGAAATAAGCTTTAAAAATGAAAAATTAAGCTTATTTTACATTTTTGAAAACCTATGTGTCGAAAACTGGTTGCCATGGCAACATGGATGACGTTATCAACAAAAAATTTATATCAAAATCTGCCCAGATAAATTTTAGGAAAAGTCCGAAAGTTTCAGAGCTCTAGCTGTCTTGGTTCGAAAGTTATTGGCTTTTTACGCGAGGGGGGGCCCAAAAGTCCCCCCCCCCCAGTCTGAATAGGGTTAAAAGTAGTTTAGGGAGGGTCTGGTCAATGAGAGAAATTGGAAGGAAGACCAAACTAAAAATGTTTGACTCGCTAGTTGAACCTTTTTTGTTGTTATTTTATGGAAGTTGACCAAAGATGAGAAAAACTGGATCCTGAGGATTAAATAATGTTAAATGGTGGGAGAAGATTTCAAATGAGAGGGTCAGGGAAGTGGGAGAAGGTCAGAACATTAGTAGTAAAATACGTCGAAGAAGATGGAATTGGATTGGGCATATACTTAGGGGAAAGCGAGAAAATGACTGTTTGACAGCCTTGGGAGTGGACACCACCAATGGGAAGCAGTGCAAAGGGGAAACAAAAGATAACATGGAGGAGTACAGTACTAAAATAGCGGAACAGAGTAGGGTGGAGGAGCTGGGATGAAACCAAACCAGCAACAAGGGACAGAGCTGGGTGGAAAAATAGAGTGCAGGCCTTACGCGCCTCCTGGCGAGAGAGGGAAATGATGATAGACCAGTAACATATAACATTTAAAATGTGCTTTTTCATTTAAAAATGAATCACATGGTACCCAGTTTAACTATTTATAAAATAACACATTAGTCACAATGATGTTATTCACTGAGACCAGCATATGTAAGTTTTTCCTTAAGAAGTCTCTGTTAAGAGACGAAACGCATAAGAAATGAAATTACAGCTTTTCAAAGAGTTATCGTTAGTGCTGCTCACTAGTAATAGTACGCTTTTACGGTTTATACATGAACTCTATAAAAAACTCATAAAAATTCATAGAGTCAATTTCGTATGAGTGGGAAACGTACGTTAGAAATTACCGTACGGTTACCGCACAGTTACCGGACCTTGCATGCACAATTTTTGTGAAGCAATGGGCACTAGAATTTGGTTATAGTACGATTACGGTTACAGTACAGTACCATCCGTTTCCCACTCATACAAAATCCGCTCTAAGTAAATTAAACACACGCCTTTAGTTGCATCAGTCGAGGGTGGTCGCTTATGGGAGAGGAAAAACAATGAAAGATTTTACAATTTCAATCCCAAAGGTGGTCGTGGTCGCCTACAAGAGTGGCTGCCTACTGTATTTGAAAAAAATTGATTTCGTGTACTCTCAAGACCCCCCTAAACTATGATTTTTTTAAAACATTCAAGACCCCCTATTTTCCAACGAAATTATTTCAGCCCCCCCCTCCAAATTAGATTATGACCCGTCCCTTAGATAAAAGATCGATATAATTTTTTTGTGCCTTGGGCAATATGGGTAATATTTTCATGAGAAATACCGTAGAAATAGTAGAAATACCGTTTCACTGTCCCAGAATTAACGTGTTATCAAAAATTTCTTATTGTCTTTGATGGATGTCAGTATAATGTCAGTTTTGATGGTTGCGGCGTAGATAGCTATTCCTTATTTTTCCAATTGGTCTTGAACAGAGTATGGATTTTCACTTTCTAGTGTCTTAAACAGGGTCAGGGTTTTAGACCACTGGCTGCACGTACCTATCCAAAACGGGGTTGAGTACCCCCCCCCTCTCCCGGATTAGGTCACTAGTGGTTGTATTTAATAAGCTCTTTTATATACAACCACTAGTGGTTTTATCTTATTAATGTTCATGTGATATTTAAAAAACGAGGAGGAGTATTTTATCGTGAGATAGTAAACACGAGAAAATCTTTCTTTTTTCGTTTCCCCAGAAGATTTCAAATGAAAGAGTTTAATGTCCTTGCCACCTATAGGGGCACCCTATGAAAACAGTGACTAAAATTCTGGTGTACATGAAATCAGTTTCATCAACTTGTTTTGTTACAAGAGAATTGATTAATGCAGAGAGAAGGCTTTGCGTTTCTAGTTCAGAAATGCTAGAAATGAATTTCAGTTCTTCATTTGAAAGCTATCAAATCAAGAACTGTTAAGAATATTACACCACTGCTATTTTAGTTTTTCTTTAAAAAGACAAAATAACAGTGAGGTAAGCGACAATATGATAAACTATCATTAAAATGTGTGTTGGCTGTTACTACTTGGCTCATTTGATTATGCCTATATATATAATATAAAAATACTGATAAATTGAAAAAATCACATATCATTTTTGAATGAACAGTACTCAGTGTACTGGGTCAAAGTAGATCTTATGTTTATGATCTATTTTCAATCGATAAGTCTATTACTATTGTATATTTCCAGTATGGTACGACTGAGATCCCAACATCATATAAGTTATCATTCAAAAGCAAAGTCTCAAAAACAACCTTAAATCCCCCCAAAAATTGCTGAATTTAAGGGTTAATATAATCTTACATGATACCTGAATAACATAAATGTGAAACCTGTCAAGTAATGCCAAATTCCCTTGCACCACTCTACAAAAACAAATACAACACCCCTACCATGTTCCTTGTGTTAAAGCCCAATAATGCAAGAAGACTTGTCTGAAACATGCCAGTCTTCTTTGCCTCCAGTCCATTTCCATCCTCAGTTGGTTCTGAACCATAAGAAGTTCGGTCATACTATTCTAATTTGAAGTGGCTGTTGGACTGTTGACACAGCTGTACGTTGGATAATCGATTTCATGTATATATGTTAATTACTGATTACACTACACTGAGGATGAAGGTGAACTTGAGTCCCGGACTTGAGCTTGTACTATAGATAAATTGTCACGTACTGTATCCTGTATTTCCTGGATTAATTGGAAGAAACGTTTACTAAATCTAAATTGTCTTCCCATGTAGGTTCTTCACCGATCACAGACAATTTCCCTTCATAGACCAAATCAATCCATAACTTCAGGAGGAGCCGACGGGGTCTGTTCTTAAATAACTGTTCTTTTACGAATAAAGGGGGCTTACAATGAATACTGAAAAAGGGGAGCCCTATAATATTATGAAAAAATGGACAAGCCAAATAGGGCTCAGAAAATTAATGAGATAAATAAACATTAAGTATCGCTATTGTATTGTATTATATCAACATAACAATAGATTAACAAAACAGACTTTTAAAAACGACGCAATACATTAGAATGCAATACATTGTCATACAAGTATTGGACAAGTATGAAAGAAAGTTTTGACCGATTTCCTGATCAAATCCTAACTATATAGAGAATTAGGGCGCCTTAAATTTAGATAGAAGTTGCCGGCCAGAACGCTCAAGATTTCCAGATGAGTATTTGATTTTGTGGACATTTTTCAGTATTCTTTTTATGGTTTCCATTTCACCTACTCATTTTTACCTAAGCCGGAATGATTACTGATTATGGAATTCCCTTAGATTACGGCCGGTTTCTCTAAGAAATTAAAGCGCTCTTATATCAGCTATTGAGGATTCTGCTAAAAATGTCCACATGTTGTCATGCTTTCATTCAATGACGATCAGTTGCCGGTGGTGTAGTCAGTGAGATTTGTTACCGTGTCTACCGCTCCACTCAAAAGAAGATATAATATACTTTTGGTTTTCTTTGTAGTGGACGGAACCGAGGGATGACAAGTTCAAACAAGTCGTTGCTGAAGTGGTGACAAATTTCTGTGGACGAAGTGAAGGTTGTATCCCATGAACAAACCGAGTCAATTTAGTATAGTTATTAACGATTTGTAGTGACTTTTTTTTTTAATATTTCAGGCGCACATCAGACGAGGTATTTGTGAAAGAAAAGACTGTAACGAGCTCAGCTTACTATCCAAGCAGATGATAAGATGGTTGGAAAATTACTTGAATTATTATCTTAACGTGGTTAACGTGGATCTTAACATTTTATTAAGTTTTATTTGTATTTCTAGAACTCATTAATAATTCATGAGCTATTAGTCCAATGAGCATCGAACTATTGGGTCACATGATGGGCCTTTATATCCCGATAAAGCACTGATGTATTATTAATCAGCTTTATATCACATATAACTGATGTTCAAGTTCATCAGCGCTTTATCACAACCCAACAATAGCAAAGGTCTCAGTTTTAATGTCGCATCATAGTCATGTAGTTTAGCATAGACTACCCGTCCTTCCGTATGGGATCAAAATTCTTTCAGTTGTGGCACAATGCACATGCTCATTAGAAGTTTTCGCATTTTTACTCAACTTTTTTCGAAAATTATAACAATTTCTGGATGTTGGAGTTCTAGAAGTGCGGCTCGAATCTATATATCCTGATAAAACACGCATTCTCGTTCTATAAACAACACACTTCACCATGATGGAAATATTGAGTTCAATAGAAATTTAAATTTTTGTTTCAGACGTGCTCTGAAATTTGTTAACTTCCAAGCAGATCAAGTCCAACAACACAAGGCATCGTCCCTCGTTGCTCGCATCGCATTATATGTGAACTTTCCACCAGGCGTGGTCCTCGATTCAAACAACACAATAAACAAAGAAAACCTCCTTAAAGCATTGAATGACACACGGGGAGATATTGAGAAAGCGCTTGGTGTTAAAATTCTCAAACTAACAACATACAAGTCAGACCATCCAACTAGACCAATCGAGAAGACAAAGCAAAAAGGGGATGGACTTAATATATATGTTATCACTTATTATTACTTATTATATTGGTGACTATTGTTGTGTAAGTATGTCCAAAATGACAAAAGACGCTAGCACATTATATAAGACTTTGTAAACCTCGTTACCAGGAACATTGGCAGGTCAATTATGGACATTTTTATTGTCTTGTCCTCCCATTATTATTCAACTGTATTCAAAAAAATTGTCACGTGATTTGCCGATGTCAGGAGTGTCTCTATCCGACACTTTTATGTAGTCCATGCATAATATTCCATCTTATGTTCGATATCAAAGAAAAAAAAAACATTGCTTTATTTGACAACAGATTCTCTTGCGAAAAGACCTGACTAAACACAAAAAGGAGCACGTTATTACAACATCCTTGGCAATTTGCATTTTCCCTGGTTGAGACTAACACTGCATTTTGATAAAAACTAAGGTTTTAGTCTTCCGGGAATACATGGTTAGACTCCAGTAAGGGAAAATGTAAATTGTTATCGCTGTTGTACTTAGTACATTTTCTCGTGTCTTCTTATGTGTTTGGTAAGGTCTTTGCGTATGAGAATCTGCTGTCAAATAAAGTAGACCGGCTATTCATTATAAATTCGAAAATGCATGAGTATTTGTCCATTGCATTTTTTTAGTTAGCTATCCCTCTTTGTAGCGTTCTGAATCCGTCAAAAAAGTAGTAACATGTCTATTTTTATGTTGTTTTAGTTGCTGTCGAAAACCATCAGATTCGAGGAAGCAGACCAATGGGTATCGAAATCGTGCCACGGAATCACAAGAAGACATTGCTATCGGACAAGAATCAATTGTATTTTAAACAACACAATAAACAAAGAAAACCTCCTTAAAGCATTGAATGACACACGGGGAGATATTGAGAAAAAAAAAATAAATAAAAAAAAAAAAAATAAAAAATAAAAAAAAAATAAAATAAAAAAAATAGAAAAAAAATAGAATGCGAGACAAAAACATTGACAATCATGATATAAGATGTTCGTCAAGGTCTTCCCGTCGTTCAACACGGGTATCACCTTCTAATTCCTGAATACAAATGCTCACTCAACAGCAGTTTCTTAATAATCTGGTAATTTTTTGTACCGCAATTTTTAGGTCTAGCTAAAGTGTTTTTTAGTACTGTCGTTTCTCTTGATCAGTGAGAGAACTTTGAAAACTATGCAAGATGTCCTACACAGGTCCTCTCGACTTTTTACAATATTTTAGTATTAATAGATCATTATGTGAATCAAAGTAACTCAATCGTCGCATATACATTAGTCAAGTATTTTTAATAGGATAAAAACAGAGGTTACACTGTTTAAAATATTTCAAACTCAATAAATTAGTTATATTTTTTGAGGTATGACTTGTTGATAGAGCTGTGCTCAAGTGTTGCAATATATAAGGACAACATATTATATTTTTAAGTAGTCTTTCTCAAAAGCAGTGTTTCAAACACGTTAAATAACTTCGAATAATGATAAAGTTTAATTCGTACCCAGACCGTCTTTGAGTTCAATTGTTTGCTCTGAGATATCCTTTATTATGGAAATACACATGATTGTCTTGTGCAAATAGAAAAATAATTACGCTTCTCTATGAAGACGGGTTTCTAGTTACATTGCCCCAAGCCTAGAGGAACTGGGTAAAAGAACTAGCAAAAAATCCATGTGTGTGGCAAAGCATTAGTTCTCTCCATATTAGGAGGTCTGCAGGCAAAGGAACACGGTCAAACGCTGTTTGTTACTACCTTTTTAATTTTGAAGTCTGAATTGCGTAACTCAGCTTGAATGGAAGAACACAGATTACTTTATGAATGCAAAAAGTTAGAAAAGGTTTAATTGGAATAAATATTATACGAACACTTTTTTTGAACACTTTGGTATAATTTGTATCTACAAACATAAATTCCCCATAAAGTTGGGCATTTTTTAGATTTAAGTTTGGCTTAGAGATTTGAATTAGACCAAACATGCATATTTTCTTAGGCTGAATGAGCTTTTCCTCTTTTTGTGAGGTTCGTGTCGCCACAGACTAATCTGGGCAATAAAGACTCTTAAACAAACCTTCCACAGCATGGAAAGAACTAATGCATAGGCAATTTGATTCATTAGATTTTTAATAGTGACTTAAACACGTGTGCTGCTATAGGCATGTCTGTCAATTTTCTTGTTCAACAAGAATATTAATTAATTTTAATTTTAAACCTAAGGATAATGCATTTTATACMAAAATGTCTTAGAACGCACACGGAATTGTGGGTAAAAATAAGTGATACATTTAGCTATTGCTGAATCCCGAGTAGGTAGAAMGTTTCATAAAGTAGTAACACGTTTATAGAATAATGTTTAAATGAATAGAAAAATACGTTGTACGTGATATACTTAGAAGTTTCTTTACGAAGAAACTAGTAGTTTTGCTAAGAACAATGTATTACGTTTTCAGAATTTTTAAATACCTATATCTAATGCTATGGAGCTATACAGCCTTTTGCAAAAATTATGAGAATTTTCGAAATATCTAAATATCATAATATCGAGTGCATGATGGGTAATCCCGCCCGATGCCCTTAGTCCCTTGTCTTTGTAGTTTAGTTTTTTTTTTGGCGACAGACTTATCCGTAGTTCTGAACATTTTCTCGATGTCAACAATGAATTATTCTAGCAAACCCGCGTGTTCCGGACAATATATGGATATGGATATTATGATATTTAGATATTTAGACAATTCTCATAATTTTTGCAAAAGGCTGTATTCATGGATATTAAACAAAACAAAAAAACAATCTTCATGAAATTATTTTTAAGATTATGAAAATGAAATTTAAAGTATTTCGTAGAGAGACCTTTCTAAGAAAGCTACATACTTGGAAATTCAGAAGTTTATTTAAACTCCTATCAAGGGCGCTAGAACTGAAATTATGACTTATAAGATCCAAAAATTGCTTAATTTATCCAACATAAGATAGTCGATAATAAATTGTAAAGTTTTACTTATCTGAAATATTTGGTGTTCGGCCAGGGCAAAGTGATTTTAATCCGGTTAATGAATAACGTTCTTGTCAAGACAGCAGTGGCTGGTACAACAAGGAAAGCGATAATAAATTCAGCAACAACCGCTTGAGTAACGATCATTTGGATGAATTTCGTAAAAATCAAGTGCTTTTTAGTGTCTAAGAGGACATTTCAGTGTATATTTCAGATAAGTAAAACTTTACAATTTATTATCGACTATCTTATGTTGGATAAATTAAGCAATTTTTGGATCTTATAAGTCATAATTTCAGTTCTAGCGCCCTTGCTCCTATCGCGATCTTTCGACTTGATTGTCTTTTTGAAACAATCAYCTAAATCGGAACTACTGCTAGTACAACTCGCAGTCCACTCGATAGSAACGGTTGATTTTCAAAGATTTCATAATTATATTTTGTCTTATCTTGATTCTGAGGAGGCATTTAGTTGCTTATCTCAGTGTACTGAATAAAACTTTAAGTTTATTCTTTAGCATTGTTTTCTAAGAACAAAACTACTACAAAAATCGCCGCTATAATATGTTGTATAAACACGGGTCTTAAGAAGTCGCTTTTCTCTTTTGTCATCATCCAATGAGAATGTTATATCCTGAAAGGAACAAGAGCTCAGAACAGAAAAGCAATCAGAGCTGTCGAATGTTCGAGAATGTGTCTATCCATTATCGAGAAATGACTTACCATCGATGATGTCATCGATATTTTTCCAAACTTCCGTATCTTTGGCATCTTTATTATTGTATGCTAAAATATCAAAATCGATATCATACATTTCTTAGAGTGCAAATATAATATACACGTCAAATATATAGCTATTAAAATAATTTATTACTAACTATGTGCTAAGTCTTGCCATAGAACTAATAAGTGATTTTTTGCGAGTCTGCAAGCCAAAGCCGAGTTTAGTGCCGTTTTAGCACTCTTCAAAGTCACTTGAGCTGCTGCAAAATCAAGACATAAGACACATCTAAAGCTAAAATAACCATAGGCCGCCCAAACCATTGCTTGAGAGAGAGAAAAGAATCGAATGAATGCGCCGGCTGTTATGTTATCTGCGCGCGCTCTTAGCAAAATGCGGATTATAGATGTGTTATTACGTCACGGTCCCGTCCTTCGCCGCTCTACTACACTAGTCTGTGACAAAAGTATGAAACACTGGTCACGTGACAAATCTATTTTTGCACCTATTTTTCCAAAGATAACAGTAAACGACAATTTTATCTACAATAATGATTTGTACTTAGGTCTTATCAACCGAGCGCGAGGTCTGTACGGGAGAATCTTGACTGAGGTCGGGAACTCCAAAATGAATGGTCTGTACGCTTATCGACAATTCAAATGACGCCAGAAAATGATCAAAACTTGGTAGTCAAAAATGTTCTGTTTTCTCTACAAATGACTTTCAATTTGTAAAGACCTCGGACCGGTCTACCTAGGAAAATATAGACCGGAGCAAAATCGAATTCGGCCAATCAAATGCCTCCATTTGCTAGCGCCCAGACTCCTAGTTACACGGTCATAAAATAATATTATTTTCTGCTTCATGAGTTTGTGTCTTTGGGTTTCATTTTACGACAAGAAAATGATAATGAGCRTTTGGCTCGCCATGGACCGATGTGTGCACCACGTAGCTGTGACATTTTTTCGGAAAACGCAAGACGCACTCAAATTGAAATATGTCTCGAAATAATCGTGTTTTCGGATGAAAACAAGCAGCGCTGTTTTAAATTTRTCTTTTACTTGAAGCTCAAACTAAGAACCATGGAAGACGTTTATCGAGTCAGTGAGATAAATACCTTTTTACAATGAGAATTTTGTTACGAAAACAGTATTTCCAGCATATATAATTTTGTAACGGTTATAAAGTGTAGCTAGCTAGTTGAGCTCCGAGAAGGACGTGTGAAAACGCACGTTGCACTTTCACGGCTCACACATATCTTAACTAATTATTAGACTTGTACATAAAGTTAGTAATTTGTCAGTAAGCTATACATTTTACGGGTACATTAAATCTCTAAAGCCGGTGTCAATGACTTTACTTTAGCACTTCTATACTTGCACTCTAATATCTCCATACTCACGATCAAAATAAGGGTCGATATCGATAATTTTATTTGAGAATTAGGCAAGCGGTAAATCTATTCGGGTCCAATCTCGTCCCCAAAGGCTATTCCCACATTACGTGCAACCTGGAATACACGACAATTTCTCGCTCTATATGATTGGTTCTTAAAATATACACTCGTATATCCAGAAGACACCTTTCACGATCACATCATGTRCATCAATAGAGCCTTGTCGACGCCATTCTTCATTTGAGACCCAAATCCCTGTTTTGACTTCTAAGTTGTTCATATTTCACCAAATCCCTTCAATGCGTGTTTCCTATTGCGCATGTGCTAAATAGTTTGATTCAGGGTATTGCAGTATGACAGTATGATTTATCTACGGAGTCTATATTATTCATGTCGTGCATGCGTAGTTTTTGGGGACGTGGTTCAGGCCGTTCTGCTTGATTCAGGGTATTGCAGTATGACAGTATGATTTATCTACGGAGTCTATATTATTCATGTCGTGCATGCGTAGTTTTTGGGGACGTGGTTCAGGCCGTTCTGCTTCGGCGAAAACAATGATAAGATCATATATGCAAAGATCATTCTCGGAACACTTTCAAATTGTTTATTTACTAATTTATTTATTTTGTAATATTTCATTTTATTTTATTAAAGCTTTATCGGACAGAATCAGATCACTGATCATTTCATCCATGCTGGGAATGTTTATTTTGTTCTCTTCTTTTAATGCATGATTGTTTTCTTCCTACATTTTTTTTCTTTTGTTTTATTTTTATCAACTATGTAATTATTACTATAACGCCATTTCGAATGATATCGGAATTTGTTCTAGAATATTTTATTCTGTTGACCGACTGAGCAATGAAGTAAAGCCTCAAGAAAATGTCTTCCGTACGGCGCCAGGTTTTTCTGCTTGTTATTATCTGTGGTGGTGTGTTCTTTTGTACTTCCGAAGGTATGGCCTTGTTGATTGTCTTGTCATAACAACTTTACAGCTTTTATGCACTAACTCTAAAAGARATATGCAATACTTTCATTGTTTACCGCAAAGTTGTCAAGTAATAGTTAAACAAAAAAATATGGGAAATTTGGCATTATTTACTGACATCTATACTCTTTATATGACCACGAAACTGTTAATATAGTCGATCGTTGTTCGGCCGTGTAAAGATGTTAAGACAACATATATTACATCATATTTTTAATCCTTTGCAAAAAGTATTTCACCTTAAAGTACCAAAAATTAGTTACAATTTCAATAACCTTTATTTCGCTACATATCTCAAGTTTTTCATGCACATAACTTTGCTGTGTTTTCTTTCTATGTCTTTACAAGTGAACAACCCGTTAATGAAATGTACTACGCGCAGTTTGAAACTTGTCGYCTTGATTTGAATGTTYGTTTTGTTTGCCAAATCTTTTCAGTTAAAAACAGTCAAAACTTAGAAGTCTCGTTAATCATACAAATATAATTTTAAATCTACTAAGCTAGACATTGTTTATTTTCATTATATTTGTATTCTTTTGTCATACAAACTAATGTTGGAATCGACCTCGGGAAACGTTTTCAAAACTTATACATATAAAAGATAAAAAAATATCTCATATTNAGATGTTCTCTTGAGAACAATAATGATATTCCGCTATTTGTGCCTCTAAATAGCATTTTTAGAATATCACGTGATCAGTGCAGACCGTGAATTCTACACAAAAAATATCTTTCGACTTCACCGAACTATGGCCAAAAATCCATCACTTTGATAATAAACTAATGGGCATATCGAATTAAGCCAAAATATTCTAAAGAGTCCCGAGAAATATTATTCTTGATTGTCTTCATTCAGATTTTTGAAACAATAACACCCAAATCCGAACCCAGTCCACTCGATAGGCACGGATGACTTTCAAAGATTTCATAGATTTTGTCTTATCTTGATTCCGAGGAGGCTTAATATCAGTTTACTGAATAAAACTTTAAGTTAATTCTTTAGCATTATTCTCTAAGACCAAAATGACTAATAAAAATCGCTGCATCTGCTTCGACGAAAACAATGTTAAAATTAAAAATGCAAACATTAATTCTCGCAATATCTTCAATTTATTTATACTTATTTATTTTGTAATTTAGAATGCGTTAATTCATGGCAGTTTTAACGGACAGAAGCAGATCAAGGGAATTTGATTTTGTTCTCTTCTTTGATATTATTTTGTCTACACTTTTGTTTTTGTTTATACCCGGTTTTTTTAAGTACGCAATTACTAGTATGACGCCATTTCGAATGATATCGGAATATGTTCTAGAATATTTTATTCTGTGCAAACCTGAGCAATGAAGTAAAGCCTCAAGAAAATGTCTTCCCTACGCCAGGTTTTTCTGCTGGCTATTATTTGTGGTGGTGGGTTCTTGTGTACTTCCGAAGGTATGGTCTTGTTAAGTGCACCTTCACGATTTTTTTTTATTATTATCTAAAACAATTTTCATGAACCTTGTAAGACTTTCTGTGAAAGTTTGGTGATTATTTTGTAAACGGTTGAGACGAAATCGGAAAAATAAAGCCAAAATTAAGTGCGTCAAATTCTTTTGTCCGAGCGGGGACTAGCGCGACTCTTGTGACGTCATCCCAGGCCATATGTTCGGTCGCAAAAGACTAAATGCCTTATAAAAGTCTATTTTTCTCACAAAAATCAATAAAACCGCTAAGATTGAATGTATCAAACCGGTTTATATTCACTGAGAATTGTCAAGCGCTTGCCGTGAACTCAGTAGATTTGAATTTCAGCAAATTCCTTGTCCTCGGAACAGAATACGAAATAGTCATTTGAGGCACTTTGAAATTTTTACCTCGCGAAAGACTATGTACATACACGGCAGTCTAAATTACTCGAGAAAATGAAATATAAAACAACCACGATTACAGACATGAAAATATTCTTCCTTTGCAGAGAAATGTCAAGCGCTGAGCTTGATCGGCGGTTTCAAAATCGGGGAAATACGATACCCGGCACTCATAATTTGGTTCTCATAGCAGCCTCTCTTATCATCTCTCCATTAATCTGTAAGTAGACAGTTTCAGGCATCTCCTCCTCTATAGGCCCAAACAGAAGAGAGCCTGGCTGACTGTGGTTGTGGGTGTTTTTCTTTTAGCTGGTTCATGACATCATCTGTTAGGGATAGAACGCCCCCACTGGTAGATTTATTCAGAAATCGTAGTGCTGCATTAATTTGCCCTTTCACTATAAGCTTGGCAAATATCTTTGACTTGTTGGGCGGGTCTGCGTCTTTTAACTTTCCGATACGATTCTGTATTAATCTTCCTTCCCTTACTAGGCTCTCGATTTCACCTCGTTTCCAATTTTCTAAACGTTTAGACAGGATAGCCTGATGATCTTTTGCTTTAGATTTTCGGCCGGGTTTTTGTAGTGCAACCGCGAGGAAAACAAATTATGGCTTTCAATGATATATGTTGCTAGTTTTAACCATTATTCCAGTCATTAATGCGAGATGTTAATTCGTCGATAAAGTCCTTTCCAGTTCGGCCATAAGGAACAAGGAATGCATTCTTTTTCCAAGTCACGATCTCGTATTAAGCGTTGGTTATAGTAGATGTTGGAATATTTAATGGAAGGCCATCAGAATCAAACGACCAGAAAACTTCATTCGGTTGTAAAACGGGATTAAATTCTGGTAAACATCCCGGTAAGCTTATATAATCCTCTAAAATTGTCTCTGTTTGTGTTGAGTCATCTGGGAATTGCGAAGAGCTGGACATATGCAAATGTGCCTCATGAAAAGAATTACCATAATTTCCTTCGCTGTTAGAGGAATTTAAGTTTTCAGATTCCTCATTCTGCCTCAGATTAACTCCATTTCGACTTTCTCGTGTTTCGTAGACATTATCATTTATTATCCTTTGCTGCTTTTCCAATCTTGCCGCCTGATCCCTGAGATTTTTGACGCGAAAAACCAAGTCCTCCATAGCCTTTTGAATTCAAAAATTCTTCCATAAATTTGATGATGTATCCCTTCTTTTTACCATCTTGATCAAGCGGTGGGTTTTCACGTTTGGTTAAAGCAATTGCCTCTTCTTTACAACTTAGTACATCGACATTCATTCGCTCAGTCAGTCCATTTCCTTTTCGAGTTATGTGCCCTTTTTCCTGCCATACTTTCCGCGCATCTTCATGCCATCTTCACTTTAAAGTCCACCTTCACGATGTTTTTTTAATCTTTAAAATGAAAATTGAGGTTAATGGAAACGTATCTGTGAATGAATTTTTAATTTTTATAAAAAAGCGAATTTTTGGTGAGCTTACCAACATAGGAAAATGTCATTTGAGCTTTGTTTTTTTCGGTTCAATACCGGGAAAGATTGGGACTGACTCTGACGTCATCCCAGGACAAGGCATTYGTTGTTATCRAAKCTTGACAGTGGATTTTATCGCGAGTCAACTCCAAAAATCTTATTTAACATCGATTTTTATGCTCTTTCGCGAATGAAATGCCCATCAAGTSCGTTGTTGGTGGCTGCAGTAACAGGTCAGATATTTTGAAGGGAATCGAACTTCAAGTTACGACGACCCGACGCCCGAAGCAAGAAAAATCGGAAGAAGTGGCTCAACTTTGTCAAAATCAAGCGTGCCAAATGCAAAAGACGAATAAACTATACCGCTATGTATTTATTGAGAAATTTCAAGAGACTACCGTGAACTCAGTTTACTAGTAAAAGGGCTGGAATTTCAGCAAATTCTTTTGGCCTCAGCACAAAATACGCAAAACAGTTCTCTATGTCCGGCAGTTTAAACTTCTCGTAGTCGAGAAAATGAAATAAGTACGATATCACAAACACTATGACTGAAAATATTCTTCCTTTCAAGCGCTTTTCTAATTTTATGAAATGAAACGACTACGAATCCAGAAATGTACACTCTTTCTTTCTTGAAACATATTAAGCGCTTTCCAAGCGATCCAGAAGCAAAGCGTAGAGTTTAGTTGTTTTCAGTTCAAAATTATGAGTGCCGGCATCGTATTTCCCCGATTTTGAAACCGCCGATCAAGCTCAGCGCTTGACATTTCTCTGCAAAGGAAGAATATTTTCATGTCTGTAATCCGGCGTGGTTGTTTTATATTTCATTTTCTCGAGTAATTTAGACTGCCGTGTATGTACATAGTCTTTCGCGAGGTAAATATTTCAAAGTGCCTCAAATGACTATTTCGTATTCTGTGCCGAGGACAAGGAATTTGCTGAAATTCAAATCTACTGAGTTCATGGCAAGCGCTGGACAATTCTCAGTGAATATAAACCGGTTTGATGCATTCAATCTTAGCGGTTTTATTGATTTTTGTGAGAAAAATAGACTTTTATAAGGCATTTAGTCTTTTGCGACCGAACTTATGGCCTGGGATGACGTCACAAGAGTCGTGCCAATCCCAGCTCGGACAAAAGAATTTGACGCACTTAATTTTGGCTTTATTTTTCCGATTTCGTCCCAACCGTTTACAAACTAATCACCAAACTTTCACAGAAAGTCTTAGAAGGTTCATACAAATTGTTCTGGATAATAAAAAAAAATCGTGAAGGTGCACTTTAATAACAATAATAATAATAATAATTAATCGGAAAGTTAACGAACCTGTGACATAAGACTTTTTAATATTATATGAACGAGAATATTGGGGCCTGGACGCTAGTAAACGAAATGAATTACGAAATAAATTACTTAACCCATTGTATTCCCAATACAGATCGGACGCGAATATTGTATATGACTTATGATATCCATCATTGAGCACCTAAAGTTATTATTTCTTAACAATAGCTAAAAGCTAAAATGTGTTGTTTCTTAGTAATAATAGAAATATACACAGCTCGTTAAACGTATTACAAAAGACATTGTTACATNCTGGACAATTCTCAGTGAATATAAACCGGTTTGATGCATTCAATCTTAGCGGTTTTATTGATTTTTGTGAGAAAAATAGACTTTTATAAGGCATTTAGTCTTTTGCGACCGAACTTATGGCCTGGGATGACGTCACAAGAGTCGTGCCAATCCCAGCTCGGACAAAAGAATTTGACGCACTTAATTTTGGCTTTATTTTTCCGATTTCGTCCCAACCGTTTACAAACTAATCACCAAACTTTCACAGAAAGTCTTAGAAGGTTCATACAAATTGTTCTGGATAATAAAAAAAAATCGTGAAGGTGCACTTTAATAACAATAATAATAATAATAATTAATCGGAAAGTTAACGAACCTGTGACATAAGACTTTTTAATATTATATGAACGAGAATATTGGGGCCTGGACGCTAGTAAACGAAATGAATTACGAAATAAATTACTTAACCCATTGTATTCCCAATACAGATCGGACGCGAATATTGTATATGACTTATGATATCCATCATTGAGCACCTAAAGTTATTATTTCTTAACAATAGCTAAAAGCTAAAATGTGTTGTTTCTTAGTAATAATAGAAATATACACAGCTCGTTAAACGTATTACAAAAGACATTGTTACATCGAATCTGTTCTTCAATGGGATTATGTAACCATAGCTACGTAATGAAGCAGTTATTGTTTTCTTTTCCACGGACCGTATGTTGCATTATTTTTGCCTCCAGTTAGCGTTCATCGTGCACTCAGAACAAGCTCGAGAATTATGGCTAACTTTAGAAAACCAAAAGACAAGAACGAGTGGATAAAATGGAGTGAATTTTTCAAGAATGACAGCAAGCAAGAGAAGAAAATTAACATTCAGTAACAAACATTGGGTTTGGCTGTGATATCCATAATGTGTGATATCGATAATGTGCTTCTTAACAAGAAGCTGAAGGAAATGACTCCAACTACGTTAAACTCTCTAAATATTCTTGGTTAACAAAGTTCGTGGAAGAGTTATTGCCAACAAGAGTGGCGGACAATATTTATCAAAATCTCTATTTGTGATTGTTTCCGGCCTTAACAGGCTTCTACCAAAGCGTAAAGGCAAAAATTTCATCTAACCTCCTCAAGAAAAATGATCGTAAATGTAAATAATTGCCATTTTGACTATACATTTTGCTAGACCGATATCTATTTGCATTTTATATTTTCTTCTATAGCAGGCCGGCTATCAGATCTATTAGTATTCTTTATAAAAATACAGAATACTAATAGATCTATATGTATTTTCTACATACTAATACATCTCATTCTCTATTGTTATTATTCATCAACCCCACCCTCTCCCTGCTCTGACTTCAAGTCCTCCCCGAGCTTTCAGTTTCTATTGGTGAATACAAGGGTAGTCATGTGACTACAATGGCGGTTACTGGATGGTTGTGCAACTTATGAATTATACGAATATTATAAGAGCATATAAATACACCCTTAAGGGGTAAACCCAATAACAAGGAAAAATGATGATGATTATGATGTATCCCCCAAAATTCTAAACAAAAACAACATAAGAGAAATCAAACAACATCAAAAACAAACTCATTTTTTTATGCCATTACTAGTGACTTCTTTATTTATTAATTAAGAAAATAAATTTTCGTTATTTAATATCACTATATCCAGCCATCACATGCGCAAACGATCCATGTCAAAATGGCGGATCATGTACAGATCAGAGCAACGACTATACTTGCAGCTGTGTGCCTGGATACACCGGACGCAATTGTTCAACTAGTAAGTCAATCACGATATGATTATGTAAGAAACAAAAAAACCTATCATAAACTATTTCCTCTGTGTAGATATCGACGAATGCGCAAATAATCCATGTCAAAATGGCGGATC